TCACAGTTCTTGACTTTCCTATAGTCTTCCGAGTGTGTAAAGTTAGGAAAGTTTATATTATGGCTCCAGACTAGAACGGGCACGTCCCCCTGATTCTAGTGTAGACGGTTTGCTCCAGGCTAGAACGGGCGTGTCCCCCTGATTCTAGTGTAGACAGTTTGCTCCAGGCTAGGACGGGCGTGTCCCCCTGATTCTAGTGTAGACGGTTTGCTCCAGGCTAGAACGGGCGTGTCCCCCTGATTCTAGTGTAGACGGTTGGCTCCAAAAGGTGGTGCAGGCTGTTGGTCTGGTTTACGTCTCTCTATTCTGATGACGGTTTTTCTCGACTTTTCTTACTCAGCAGGCACAATCATAAACTTGCTTTTAGTTCACCTTTTTAAAGCAGTTGCTTATTTGTTATGTTGTAACAGCAGTCTTGTTTTTTAAAGATGTCGAGTACACAAGACTGATCATTGGTCACGGCACCAAATATCCTCACACTTGTGGCACAGTCGTGCCTATACATCCCCCAAGAAATAGATGTGCCTAAGTCGGCCAAGTTGAATGAATATGGTTCGTATCTCTCTTCAATCGTACTCAAGAACAAGGCCAGTGATGTAATCAATTACATAAGAGCTGGTTTATTCATAATATTCTCGTCACACACATTTCATAAATTCAATAAGCAATAGTATATGAACACTCCTTATTACTGGCTATTCGTATGCCTCTACGAGTTCCTTAACCACTGTTCTGGCTAAACTCCAAGTTTAACATATACCTTCTAAACGAAGTAAAGCACTAGTTTTCTCCTAACCGGTTTCTCTAGCGGTCTAGCCCTAACTGTCTTCTCATGGCGGTTCCGGGGCTAACTCACTGTTCTAGCTAAACTCCAAGTTTAACATATATCTTCTAACGAAGTACAGCACTAGTTTTCTCCTAACCGGTTTCTTTAGCGGTCTAGCCCTAACTGTCTTCTCATGGCGGTTCCGGGGCTAACCCACTTCTCAAGCCCCTGGCTCTGACTTTATTCCACCGCTTTTCCGCTCCTCCTGGCGTACCATCTTAATCACTCCCCTGTCACCTGTCCTTGGTGGTCACGTTTGGATGAACGTATCTCGTCAGCTGGTCACAGCTCACGGGTACTCGTCGAATGTTTCATCCCTCACTGTCAGATGTCATGGCGGTGTGTTCTGCATAGCTGGCTAGGCCATGGCTTTCTAATCACCCATTCTGTCATTTCACACAGTGATGGATTAGTACGCCGTGTGGTGGTCTGAAATGTATGCTTGTTCATTTAACCCCTTTCTGCCTATATTTCATTACACTGCTAGAGTGCTATGTCATTAGCAGCACGGCAGGTGGCTTCTGACAGATACTCGTGTCGCTGTAGTACTGAGTAGCGTGCGCACTGGCTCGTTCTTTGCCAGCTGCAACACAATCAACTGAGAACATAGTCATGATGATGTTTTACTGGCTTTTCGATTAAACTCACCACCGACAGTATACCCCACTCCGCTACGCGTGGCGCGGATGGGGGGGGGGGGCTAAACTAGATGCCTGGGACGAGCAAATAAATTGGAGGAAGTTGCAGGAGATGAGGTAGCTGCTGCTCGTGAGTCCCAGCCATGTAGTTTAGCCCCCCATACCTCATCCAGGCCCCGTGCAGCGGTGCGGGGGATACTGTCGGCGGTGAGGCATAGTCACAGAAACAGGTCCTCAATTAACATATCGTTGAGACCCTGTTAGAGCATTTGTTTCGTTATTCAGCTGATCCTAGTTTTGCCGCGATTTGTTCCTCGGCCGGAAGTCTGACAAGTCCGCATTTTTCAGGACTGACGCCCTGTTAAGGTATTTGTTTGGCTGCCATATTGCCGGGGTAGAAGTTCGAGGAGAGCCTTAAAAGTTTTAATTTAAACTAATTTTTGCTCAAGAATAATTTTTTTTTAATGTAAAGGTGTGATCTGTCTTTAACCCTGTCTGACTTTCTACCCCACTAGGACATCACACAAGCAACAAACACCCGATGACACAAAGTTTCACCATGTGGATAAGGATCGCTGTGGAGAGGTCCCAGAAACCGCATTCAGGCAATTGGCCATATTTATGGCCTGCCTATATTGCGGCCCCTGGCAAAAGCCAGGGTGGGGCTTCAAATAACAAAAATTGTGTCCTAAAAAGGACAAAACTGGGTAATTTAACCCTTTCAGGCCCATGAATGTTTACAGACTTGGCTGGCATTAATTTCACTTTACAAAAATGGCAGAGGGGTGGTGTAAACAAGGCAATAGAGACTAATATATTTCTAATCCATAGACAAGTTATGAAGTATATATAGTTTTTAATGTGATATCCAGGTACCTCAGTTTGTTTTCTCTTTTGATATTTCTATCATTAATAATGAGACTTGGAACATCTTGTCTTACATTTCTGTTTCCAGAGAGCACTAAAAAACTGGCCTTTTCTAGGTTGATGTCGGGACACATTTCGGAGCCCACATTTCTGCACACTAGTCAGTCACTTTGTCTCCAGTTGCCTGTAGCTCTTGGGATCTCTGTTGCGTATCACTTTACTGCCTATATGCAAGAACATAATCTGCAAATGTCAATATCCATTCAACCCCTAATGCTTCAGGTTCTGCAATCCCACTTGTATACATATTGCAGAACCCTGGGGTACTCCTGGTGCGATATTGCATCCTTCAGAGGCCCATGTACCCAGATGGAGAACGACTTTACATATATGCAGGTCAGCTGCTATCCAGTTAACCTGCCAGGGACACACCCCCTTTTCTATGAACGCAAAAAATCAAAGTATCATACCGACTCTTTTGTAGGCATCCTCAAGATCAAGAGTCACCACAACCGTCTCCTGTCTATTCTGAAACACCTCACAAACATCAAAGGCATTTGGGCTATCTTCCAAATAATGGTCCCAAATTATTGAGGCAGAAAATATACCCTAACAGAGCCTCAGTCACGTGTCAATTGCGCACTTCTGGCGACTTAAATTGCGCACTTCCGCCAAGAGTATCCCCTACGCCGCTCACTCTAGATGGCTGGGACTCACGAGCAGCAGCTACCGCATTTCCTGCAGCTGCCCTAATTTTATTTGCTCGTGAGTCCCAGCCATCTAGTTTAGCCCCAATACTCTCTGTGGTGGCGGTAGTTCCAGTGAAGTTCGCAATTCGGCGATGGCTGTATAATCCCCGGAAGTGCGCAGTTGACACGTGACTGAGGCCCTGTTAGGGTGTATTTTCTGCCTCGATAATTTAGGACCGTTATTCGGAAGATAGCCGGCATTTGACCACATATCTTTCACTGGCCAGTAACTGCTAAAACTTCTTGACAAGAGCTCTTTCATTTCTTTTTTTAAAAAAGCCTTCAGTTTAACAGCAGTAATCTTCTTAAGCACCTTGCTAAAAGTATTTTGAAGTGTATAATCCTGAAACTGCCGAGTCTTGAATGATTTTCCCTTATCTTTGTTTATTGTCATGGGCGTACCGATATCTGTATATATGCCTGTTGTGATAGGCTGATTCTTTCTTTTCGTCTGCCTGTGAAGTTTCCAGAACCTGCCCAACGATCTATTCTCTCCAGTTTCATTCATAAAATTGTCCCATTCAAGTCTTTTTTGCATCTGCTGCACACTGCTTGAAATTTTCTGCTTTTTCTTTTTTATCATTTTCTGCCTTCTCTACCTCCTCTCGTAACCCTTGAGGTGACTTTCACACTTTCTGTAATTGTTTAGCTGATGCTTTCTTTTCTTACTGTGGGAGAAATGACAACCGCTGCTAGCCAACATGTAGGAGAAAATAACGACCTAAACATAAAAAAGACATTCTCATGAAGTGTTTTAGCTACAATGACAGGAGGAACGACTCACCTCACCATGCTGGGAAATTGTTCATTACATCAAGAACAGATTTCTTAACTCTATAGAGACAATGACATGAATCACACCACAAGATGAACAACTGAAAACTCCGTAAACAATAAATAGAACTTATGACATAAGAGAGACGGCTCATAATACTAGTGGGGCAACTCCTAACACAGGAGAGACAGCCTATAACACAAGAAGGACAACTCCTAACACAACAAGACAGACCACTGCACAAGAGAAACAATACACAACACAAGAAGAAAATTCCTAATGCAATGAGACATAGAAGCAACATATAAAACAAGACGAACAACCATATACAGTATCAACAATCATCAGTATAACTGATTAGAACTTTCACATTAACACAAAGACCAGAAGATATTGAACTCGGATGTCTTCTGTGGTGACATACGGCACACGGTTGCATAGTCTGTCTGGTGTCATGTCTGCAGTGAATGTTGGATGCAATGGATCTCCAGTAAGAGAGATGAATAATATGGTAGGAGATGGCAAAAGCTAGGATGGCTTGATGCAAATTTTTTGAGATTGTATGCTGCAACAGAAAATAAAAGTAATTAAAACACTTTACCATTATTGTTATGAATGCACAACATATGACAGTCACAGGAAAATTTAATATTATTATAAACGACTGATGTATGGAATGACATTTAATCATATTTAAGTCAAGGGCCTTTTGTATGCTTTTAGAAGTATTGGGCATTAGATGTATATTTTATAGACCAATCGGCACTTGGATAATTTAGTCGGCATCATATCGGCTGCCTTTACTTCCGAGAACTTCATCTGGTACCCACTCAAGGCTAATGTAATGTATAAAAATGTACAATATAAAGTCAAAAAAGGCCTCAGGCTGGAAAGGAAAGAAAACCTTTTTTTAACCAGCAAAAACATCATCTAATTATGATTGCATAGACAGATCATAATTAGATCATATTTTAGCTGGTAAGAAAGGTAGGGAGAGCTGCATGCGATAGCAAAAGAATGACTTGGCGTGAGTTGGTTGAAGGCCTAGGCTCCATTGGGAGCTAGAAAGGCAGAAGAAGACAGATCATGTGTTTGTATAACTGAGAGGCACTAACTGTTGTTTTGATCCTTTTTCTGTTTTACAGGATATTCGTCACGATGCTGACACCACAGATATGCTTGACGATTTCAGTGCTTCAGGCAGACGCAAGATTTCAGATCTTCGGAACAAAATAGCTGTAATAATTTATCATTTCACTTTTAACAATAAATCCTAGATTTTCTAAAACATTATTTACAACTGTAATAATTTATCACTTAAATATCTATATTTAAAAAAATGTTAATTTTCTGAGTTTGTTAACTCTAAACTTGGAAACTACTAAACCTATTGCTTTCAAATTTTCACACGTTGTCTCTGACTCAAAGCTTGATTTTTTGTCATAATATCCCACAAACCACGAAAGACGTAGCTCCAGCAATGGTCAAATCAATATTTGATTTGTTGCCCGCCCAGATCTGTTTTTAGTTGATTGGCCGCCTTCGACTGCTGAGCAGGGCTGCCAATAGATCCCTTTTCCCCTAGGATCAATCTCCAACATTATTTTACCAATCGCTTTTAAATTTTCACACAACGTTGCCTAAGACTCCACGCGTGTTTGTATGTATGAGTTTTGCACAAACCACAAACGATGTAGCTCCAGCAATGATCATTTCATAAGCTATTTCGTTGCCGGCCCGGATTTGTTTTTAGTTGATTGGCCACCTTTTACTGTGTAACACCGAACTTCACATTATTATTATATACTTTTATTTCTACTAAATGCTTGAGTATTTAGTAGCGTAGTTAGTTGTAAGCATTTTGCCTTTTACACGGGTGATAGGGGTTCCTAACTGGGTGGCTGCCATGTTTTGTTGTGGTTTATAGCTAAGCTGCAATATCTATGCTTTTTTCCCGTTCGATTTTGGGGTTTACAGCTAGCCTGTGATAGCAGCGACGTGATGCTCAATGTTCATGTCACGGTTAGTATTCGTTCGCCCTTGAGAGGGCGATTTGCACGTTGCGTTCTGGTTTACAGCTAGGCTGCGATATCTAACCTAAAGTCTTCAGTCTTCGATAGTAGAGTTGTAAGTATTCCGCCCTTCACACGGATGACCGGTGTTCGATTCCCCGCTGGGTGCTAATTTTTCTGTTTCCTCTAAAGGGGCGATTGGCACGTTGTGTTGTGGTTTACAGCTGTGCCTTACCCCCAAAGACATCCGATTTTAGTACAGTCCAAATTAGCCTCCCCCGACGCTTCACTCGATCAAAAACTATTCATTGATGACAGAAACTGTTAATTAAGACGGCTTAGCGTCCACTTTAGTTTGGGTCTACACGGATGCCACGGTTAATTAAACATCGTCCCTTCGGAGAGGGAGAGATGACGAGTGCAGGTTTTTATTTCCGCTATTTGTGAGTATAGTGTACTTTTTTTTTTTTAAATAACGGAATATTACTGTGGATTCCACCACTGGTTATGTGATGGAGTTCTATGTCGGAGACACACTTAAACTAAACAGTCCGTGGCGACAGCATGCGGTGCCAACTCCTCTGGCTACAACGACCTGTACAGACAGTACTGACCGTTTTGTGTTGTTGTTGTGACGATGGTGGTGATAGTGGTAGCAGTAGTACTGGTACTCGATGAGTGATGTGGTAGCTGTTACACTGGCCACATTTACTTCTCAGTACAGATTAATGCTACCCATTTTTGTCTGGGTGGACACGGATGCCAAGCTCAATTTAACAACAATATTTCGTCAGGCACTGACATTCCCATACTTCGTAGAGGGTGATATGATTGTCACGGTGGGGGGGGGGGGGGGGGGGGTGGTTGATGCCAGACACTGTTAACTGAGAGAGCTTAAAATATTATTTAAACGTTCTCATTTCTTAACTATTTTTATTTTAACAATGTCGCCACGTGATAATTGTTAAATCATTATGAGAGGAATATATGATTGGGGGGGGGGGGGGGGGGGGGGGGTTTATGACCGACACTGTTAGCTCAGAAGGCTTATAACTTTATTTTACAGTTCTCATTTCTTACATATTTATATTTTAATACCTCTTCCTCAGCTATTTTCATTTTCTTGGGTGCCAGTTTGTTGGTCAGTTAGTTAGTTAGTTAGTTAGTTAGTTAGTTAGTTAGTTAGTTGGGTTATCCTCATTGCACTCCGGACATGTCCATAGGTGCTCAGATCCTCCCCTCAGTATGAACCCCAACGTCCGATGGCTAATAGTACCAGTTCTATGTTGATTAACAAGTCTTCTGGCGTAGCTGGTGTGCGTCTCGTTTTTTGCTGTGCCGATCTTAATTCCCAAGTCTGCCATTCTGGCGAGTGATGTGGATTCACTGCCACCAAAGTCGTATATCCTTCCCATTTCTCTGAGGGCATTGATAATATCAGCATGATCCATAGGCTGACCGTCGGTAGTGATAGCGGATCCAGCCAACCTGTCAGCTCTTTCATTTCCATCGACGCCTGCGTTTCCCGGAACAAAAATAAAGGTGACTCCACGGACAGTGGACTTCTGTAATGATTCAAGCCATTGTCTTCGCACTGAGAATGCCTGAGCCTGCCAACAAAAATGAACCCTCCGATCATACTCATTGAATCACTGAGTATACACACGCGGGTGTATTTTTGTGTTTCAAGCCAGGCAAGCGCTTGTGTCACTGCCATCACCTCCATCTTCATGCTGCTGGTTGTTGGTCAGTTAGAGGTATAGCAGTCAGCTTTACTTTTACCTGTTTAAGCACAACAGATGCTTTAGCTTCGATAAACAAATAATCTTTTTTTCTCTCTCTCTAACAGTGCACTTTATTCGACCACTAATATCGACATTCCCTGATATGTTGCGTGTTCTAGAGTTGGCTTTTCAGACTATCTCTGTAGCTGTGCAATGACTGATATTAACCATATTAGACAGGTGCGCTTTCTATTTTCTTTCTTTTCCAGTTTACCATTCTGGGCCACAGCAACGCGTGGCCGGGTACAGCTAGTTTAAAAATAAATCTTAGAATTTCTTAAACAGATTTTATACATGTTCTTATTGTAGCCTTTTTGAGATATTGACTAATTTTGAATTCAGCGTATCAAATACCTTCTCCAAGGTCTACCCAACCTAAAATGGGTAACACGTAGAGTCCTGGAAAGTAAAGGTGGCTGACAATATGTTAATCATATCACCTATCGAGTGATAATGGATCTGTTTACAAAATATGAGTCTAGCATCATATACCCATTGCGCTACTGATGTGTGAAGGGTCCTTATTTTATTTTTATGTCAAATAATTAATATTTCGTAATCAAAGGATATTCATTTGCAGTATTTTTTCTGTTCCAGCCGGTTGTTACTTTAAACCATTTCAATGGCAAGTACATAAATAATATATATTTGGGGTAATAATAGTAGGCTGTATGAGCCAAAAGCTTTCAAAGTAACAGTTGGGATCGACTAGGTTCCTATTACAATTTGTTGGTGATGAACAAGTTAACAGAAGTATACAATGTTTACATTAAGTTATTATAAACTCATGATGAATTATTTGGTATAAAATAGAATAATTTTGCTGTAATTGTGTATGTGTTTTTCCCCCCAGGAACTAGAAAGATTAGGATTGGAACAGATCCGTGACACAGACAGGGATGCTATCCTTGTTAATGTTGAAAGTCTACGACAGAAGTTATCCAGGTAAAGATTAATACTGTTAACTACCTTGAAATGAGATTCTTCTTTTCCATCTTTATTTTTCTTATACAGCTTTGGGTATCAAAGAAGATACAATTTCTTCTAGTTTTATTTACCATGCCTGTAGCTTTGAGCATTCCAGTCTTGATTTCACTGTTTTGTCTCTTCTCCTTCTGCCTTTCTAACCCCCAACTCACAACAAGTCGTTCTATCCTTCATTGTTGCATGCAGCTCTCTCTTTCTTTTAACTTCACTCCATGTTTTTTTTTAATTTTTGTTATTGTGATTATTGTGTCCCTGTGGGTTCTAGTGAAAAAACAGTCTAGTTATATTGTTTTCAGGTTTTCTCAGGGTGTATCCTATCCAATGCTAGCGTGTTTACTTCACCTTTTGATCCACTGGAGCTTATTTAGTTCTATCCCAAAGCTCTACATTAGTGACTATCATACCATTTAATTCTCTCTATTCTGCACAGGCACCAGTTGGTGAATATGTGTAGTTTTTTAGTAATTGTCTTAGTTCCCCATTATTCCACTCCATACAATACTGATTTGACATAAAAATTAAAAATTGTTAGTGTAGTTCTAGTTTTAATTTCTTTTGACCTCCACAAACTCATAGTGCTATGAAAACTCCTTGCCTTTTGTATTTGTATTTTAATATCTCTATCAGTTCTACCATCTTTTTCTTCATTACTGTTCCATCTCTTAGTTCTTTAATATCGCCCTGATTGAAGAAACAAATATTCTTAGGGAAGTTTGCCATACCTCACATCCCGTAAGCTGTAGAAAAATATCCTCACTGTAGGGCTGATTCTTGTGATACTTATTATCTGTATCGACATCCTAGCACCTCAGTCCGACTTCTCTTGATCTGTCCTCAAATGCAGCATCCATGCCCACCATACCCAGATGGAGTTAACCTGCATATCTTTTTTATTCTTTGCCCCGCATCAAAACTGACGAACCTGGGTCTCCACAATTATAGAGTGACAGGTTTAATAACTTCATTTACTTTACCTAATGATCACAATTTTTGTTTGACATGTTATTTTTAATGTTGATTGGGGTCCTTTTTAGTTTTCATATGTATGTACCCTTGTTAAAATATAAATTACATGTGATTAAATCTTGACTGTTTTCAACAGCACTGTAACAAGCTTCCGGCAAGCCATTTTGAGTACAAAACTGGCACTGGATAAAAAGAGTAAAGAACAGTTACTGAATGGCTCTTCGAAGATTAGAAAACGGTATGCAATATCTGTGAGTCAAGTTTCGGTATTTCATTACAGAAAATATCATCCAGATAAATTAATATTATAGTTCAACACGAAGAAAAACCTGATATCCATTAGTTTTTTTTTTTTTTTTTTTAATATTTTCCACACTGGTGTCTAATTTCATGTACAGTTTTAGTGTTTTTGTATTTCCTTTACGGGGTTTCGTTATGTAATGAATGACCTCGTGTTTTTAAGTTCATTGTGTACTTTTTCCACTGGCCTTGTTGGTTCCTTGTCTATTTTTATTTGTGAGTTCCTTCTTCAGTTCTGTATGGGTGATATGCTTATATTCTGGTTATGCCATTTTGTTTATAACTGGTTATGAAGCTGTGGTATTTATTTAAGCACACACTAAAATTCGTGGTATCTGGTTAATGTGCATGCGTTAACGGCCTTGGTAGCTAATGAGTTAAACTGAAAAAAGGTAATACACATTGTTAGTTGCGTATCCTTTACAGGAGGTTGCAGAACTAACCCCAACAGTCCCTAGCTGTTGTGTGGTTTTTCTAGGCAAACTTGCGCCCAGTAGTTTGTTACAAATAAATGCACACAATTTCAACACCCCGTCCTCCCCCAGTTGAAGAACACTGGCTTAGACCAATGTTGATGAGAGGCCACAGGTACCGGCTGAATTTCCTCCCTGATATTGGTACCTCCCTCCCTGATATTGGTAAGATTGCACAGGATAAAACTGAGTAGAGGAATAGTCTGAGAGCCCTATTTGACATATAAACAATACATGAAAATGAGTGTAATCTTCTTCTTCTTCGCATTCACCAGCTGTAAACTCTGGCAGAAAGTTCTGGTTGTTCATCCACTTTTGGACTGCAGTCCTATTCCAGAACCTGAGTATTGCATGTGCATCCGTTTTACAGATCTGACTCATTTGTATGCAAACTGCTGGTTTCTTGCCTCTCAGGCAGATGCACTCCGACTTCGAAAGAAGCTCCCAATTAGTCGACTCTTACGACATGCTTTTGGGTAGACAGTGGTTCTATTCTTGTTTTCCCTACAAAAGGGCCCCGGAACCCACACAAAGAGAGGAGTGTAATGATTTGCCTTTCACTTCTGCACTTAAACATCCAACAAATATTAAGTATTGTAATTATTTATATTCTGTGAACATGCTGAAGTTTATTGCGGTCATATTTGTTCATTAATTAGAAACCAGGGAAACAAGGAGACATTGGCCAAGACTGCAAATGACATTTCTGATATGCTGATGAGTCTGAATCGCACCATGGCTGACCAGGTGAAGCAGAGCGAGATGAATGTCACCACACTGGGTAAGACTAGCATCAGACTATCCAGTATTTTGTGTTATGAATGAAGAAATATTGTACCCACATTGTTTTTTTCTTTTGTAGTTTAGACACTGCCAAGGTATATCTTCTCTTTCTAGTATTCGCCAGCTGTAAACTCTGTTAGGAAGTTCTGGTTGTTCGCCCACTTCTGGACTTTGGTCTTTTTTCAGAACTTGGGTTTTCCATGCACATCCGGCTTAATTATTCAGACTCTTGGTTCCTCACCATTCAGGCAGATGTATTCAGACTGTTGGCTCCTCACCATTCAGGCAGATGTATTCAGACTGTTGGCTCCTCACCATTCAGGCAGATGTATTCAGACTGTTGGCTCCTCACCATTCAGGCAGATGTATTCAGACTGTTGGCTCCTCACCATTCAGGCAGATGTATTCAGACTGTTGGTTCCTCACCATTCAGGCAGATGTATTCTGACTTTGAAGGAAACGTCCCTAATTAGTCACTTCCTTCCACATGCTTTTTAGGGGGGCAGTGGGTCTATCGTCTTTTCCTCCAAAATGGGGCCTCAGGAGCCAAAGTATATAAGACAGATTGGCCAAAGTTGGTTGAGTTATCATCATCATGTAGCACGTTCTTTGCAGAACGTTGCTGTCATCACAGTCTACCTGAAAGAAACTCAGTCTCTCGCCAGCTCTCCCACTTTTATATCCTAGTAGTCACAGATATCCTGTGCCCATCTTTGTGTTGGTCGAACTTTGCCTGTCTTTCCTGGTACCATGCCTTCTGCAAGTATTTATTTCTAATGTGCCGTGGCACTCAAAATATTTCACTTTCCAAGACAAAAGGCCAGTCTTCCTTGTTGTTCAGATCTTTTTGAATTTTAATATTTTTTCTTCTTTGTCCATGGCATACTGAGGATTTTTCTATAGCATTTCAGCTCAAAAGCCCCTATTTTCTTCCTTTAGGACTATGAATCTGTATTTTGTACCAGTGAAAATGCATGCTGTCAAAATGTTGACTTTGATTACCTTGCTGAAGCTTAGCCATGGACTTTTAATACTGTTTAATCTTTGCATTGCTATGGCCATCCGCTCTTGAACAGTCTCCATTGCTGCTTATCACAGACCTTATATATTCAAAGTTTGTGGCATTTTTAGTTTCTTTATTTTGAGATGACATTGAGTTTTGTCTGTAGACATTATTTTTGGTTTTCGGGATTAAATATTCTATTGCAGCTAATGCTGTTCTAAAGGATAATTGTGTCATGTGCATAAAGAAGGTTTGCCGCTGATTATGAGCAGATCATACAAACCACTCATTGAAGTGTATTGTTGCTTACCCGATATTTCTTTACTTCCATGCAGCTGGATCCTCTCAAGTTGTGAGCGATACCCACGATGAGTTCCACACAATGGGAGGGCACATACAAAACTCACAACGCTTGCTGACAAAGTATGGCAGACGTGAATTCACTGACAGATTGCTCATTTTGTTGGCCCTAGTGTTTTTCTTTTCTACAGTGCTTTATATAGTAAAAAAGAGAATATGGCCTTCTTGATGAATTAGTACGAAAAAGTGAAGCTGTACACAATTGTTGCATTCAAATTATTGTTAATTCTTTCAGTCCTGATGCTTGTATTGCCTTAGAGCATGTAGTTACAACCACAAGTAGCTATAGAAGACAATGAAGAACAGTTATTTCCAAGGTATAGAGGCCTGAAATATTTTGCACATTTGTTCTGTCTCGGGCATTAACTTTAGTTTTGTCTTATCCAGACTGTTAGCAATGTAGCAGCGGAAAGTATTTAATGAATGTGTCCAAGAAATGAAACTTGAGGATCATTAAAATATTTACAATCTTATAGTTTTCTTTTATTGTACAAGTGCCTTTAATGTGGTTTAAATCTGCTGTTTGTTGCTTCTGGGTTTATAATTATGCTACAAATTACATTCAGGTAGGTAGCCACTGTGGTGTAGCAGCTAGACGCTTACTTGCAGATCCTATGGTTGTGGGTTCAAATCCTAACTTTTTTAACATGATCTTCGTTCCCAGTCTAAAATGGGAACAAATCAAGGCCTGGGAAGTAAAGGTGCCTGGCATGAAATTTGGCCACATCACCTACAGAGTGCCAAATGGCTTTAAAATATAAGTCTAGCACTCTACGTCCAACAGACCTATGGATATAGAAAAAGATCCTTAACAATCATGGTAAGGAAAAACCCTGTAAAAATAGTTGATACCCATGCCTGCCAGCCCAATGGTCTTGAATGTGAATCATCGTGGAGTCCAGAACGTTTTGTGCATAACCCTGGCTCCCAGACCAACCCAAGTACCATTAAGTATCCTTGAGTAACATCACCCCTCAAGAGTCGACTGCTCTAAAAAAAAATGGAGGTCTATCACCAAGTGACCAATATGACTGATATGAAAAGGGCTGTTAAAGAGACATATCACGCTTTTTGTCCAGATTTCTTTATTTAAAATTGGGGATCATTTTATATTGTTTCTAGAGCAGATTTTTGTGAACTCTTAAATCCACTGCCGATTTGCTGGACCTGACACAGATTCATCCTTAAGAGAACACTGGAAAACACGTAAATCACATCGAGAACACCGAAAAATTACACATCCGTTGAATAACACACACTGTTTACGTCGACATCTTGCAGTTTGAGAATGGCTGCGAATAAAACCAGAAGAGATCGAGTGAGAAACGATGTGATTACAAGAACTATTAGAACCATGCCCATCGTTAAATTTATTGAGAAGCAAAGAATGAAATGGTTTGGTCACCTAATGAGAATGGAACCAACGATGCCAGCATCAAGAGCATACAACATAAAAATCGAAACACCAAGAGGCAGGGGAAGACCAAGAAGAAGATGGATTGAAGGAGTCACGGACAACTTGAGACTTCATAACATCACGGCATATGAAGTGACTGAGCGCGCCTTGGCTCGGTTGCCGATCATCTGATAGACTGCGACGCCTAGCGGCACAAGCAGATTTTGGCAAAAGAAGAAAGAAGAAGATCATTTTATATGTTGAATGTGATTAAAATCTGTGTTTCCTAATTTTGTGCTTAAAAATAGACAATAAGTTTCCAGCTGTTAACACATCACCGCATAAACTCGGATCTCATGATCCAACAGTACTTACCATCCAAGACATTTGATTATTTATTTCAAACTGTCCTTGACAAATTTTACTATGTGCAAGACACCTATTATTTCTTTTTTCACTAGCGGAAAGTCCTGGTTTTTCATCCATTTGGACTTTGTGTGCCAGTTTTGCGTGTACATCCGTTTTACTGGCTCTATGTGCAGTTGGCTGTTCCTTGCCGCTCTGGCAGATGCACTCCGACTTTAAAGGAAGCGCCCAATTAGTCGACTTCTAATCCAGGTTTCCTTCAGTCATCTACATTTTTTTTTTCTACTGTCCTTATCCAGGTTTCCTTCAGTCATCTACATTTTTTTTTCTATAGAAAAGAATTAGACTACAAAAGACAATAAATCCAAGACCTTATTAGATCCTGTTGAACATTTTCAGCATTTTTTGTTTTAATTTTCTAAGCTCTTACTGTGAATTTATTAGCTGTCTGTTTTTTTCTCAACAAAATAAGTATATACTTGAGCAAAGTATTTTACATGGGGGGGGAGGGGAGGGCTACAGCATAGTGTCCAATTGCTCGTTCACCTGCCCACCGGAAGTTCTTTGGTTCACATCTGCACCGAGGTGAATTTGTTCCTTTGCAACTGGCATTGACTCCCAAGTCAACCCAGCCTAATACTGGTACCAGGTAATGAATATCATGAGAAGCAAAGATGGTCTGCATGATATAGACCAAATTGTAGCTAGTCTATATAAAAACAAATATGTGCCTAGCATCATATGTATGCCCAATGCACCAACGGTAAAAATAAAAATCCTTTACTTCCTACCACATAGAACAAAACTGTAAATCTCGATATCAATATCTACTGATTCTATTTCAAACCAGATATCTACACTTAAAAAATACACATTGTTATCTGATGAAAGGAACATTCCAAATCTTTGTAATTTAATAAGTGAAACTGTTCAAACTGCAAACAAGAATACCTTAGGGTTCAACCAATTAGATGATAGTTATTTTGCATCTGGGTCATCGGTAGTTTTAAGCGAGCAGGCTTACCCATCAACAAATAAAAAACATTCCATCGGATAACTGCTTTTTTTTCAACAGCAAAGTGCCACTGAAAAAGTGGATTTATTTCTCTAATTACTCCCCACTCTTCTCATTCACCAAGCAACAGGACAAGGATGTTTTTTTTAAATCAATCTATTAAATCAACAATGAATGAAACAATATCTTCTGCACATATCACCCATACGTTCTCAATTTAATTTAGCTTGCTACATAACAGAAACAATCATCTATCACAATAACTGCGTGCAATGACCAAATGACCATTACTGTTTTTTAAAACAAAGACACAGTAATTAATCCATTTAAAGCATCTTGTTTCTGGTCTAATAAAATCTTTTTCACCACAAGCCCTTCAGAATGTGTGAACTTCTAACATTTCACCAAATCTATGAAAATGAACAACACATCAAAAATACTGAATAGCTAGCCGCCTAAGCTGTCTGGAATCCAGTTAGAAAGCTGGTGACTATTTGTTTCAGTTTCTCATCCACCTGTTCATTGATTTTGCCTTCTGCAGCAATGGTTTTCAGGAGGTCTTGCTGAGAGCTGCGCAGGTGCTTCAAAAACTCAGCCTCAAACTGGGTGATTTTGGAGGGATCCAGCTTGTCAAGATATCCACGCACACCAGAGTAGATTACACACACTTGTTCTTCAATGGCCATGGGTACTGTGGAAATAGGAAACTGAATATAAATCTGCACATCAAAATTAAGCCTTAGAATTTTGATTACAGCAATAACCTACAGACTTCTCCCAACCTGGCATTACTGGCCTGTTCATGAGACACCTAGCTAATTGATGTTATAGCTCACACTGTCATTTAGATGGGCCAGGATGGCTGTTAACAAAAAATATTTAGCAGTTTTCCTGTGACAACATGACTCTATTATTTATGACAAAACAATTTTTGAATTGGCCATAGTTATCCTAATCCACGACCGGGTCACAAGGCCCATTTCGTTTCAGAGTTGGAGAGATGTGGCCCAATTAATTCTCTGATGCATTTGTTTTCTGACGATACTGTATTCTTTATTAAATTTAATGTTTTGGTCAAAAGAAGAGGGAATAGCATGGCTTCCCAGGCTTGTTTAATCATATTAGCCATGAGACTTGGGGAAAAGCCAAAATCATCCCATTATGAAAAAACAAAGGCAGTAAAAGAGACTGCACACATCTCCCTTCTGAGTTATACTGGGAAAATATGCAAAATTCTCGAGAAAAGACTATGGCCTTTAATGAAGCCCCACATAATAAAACGCAACTAGGATTTTGGAAAAACATGAGATGGACAGATGCCGTGCTTTCAGACAATTTATAGAGATATCCAACTGAATTTGCAAAACACTAGCTTTCACTGACCAAGAAAAAGGACCTGACAGAGTACTGTATACCACAGCAAGCAATGACTTATAGACCCAGGTGGCAAGCAAAGCAGAGGCAAGCCATGCAAACAACAGATAGAGGGAATAAAGAGTCCCTGGGAATCTCCATTTATAAAGCGCACAAATGGATACTTTCTTGTAAATTATACTTCATTTTGACACCACAGGTTGCAAGAAGATAATATATGGGATTTTTTTTACTTTTTCTAACTGGGGAAGCAAAGATGCTCTGTGCCTCACATACTTGCATGTCCTGGACAGAAAATCTACACATCCATTCCCTGTGTCTTATCAAGTAAGGCAAGCCTCTCTATGAGGACACATTTATGTTTTTTTAATACTGCTCACGGTCCCTTACAACTACATGTATTATTTTCCACACTTTGAATAGAGTTGTATTGGTCATCTTGGGATGAAAGAAGGCAACAGAAATGTAAATTTATTGAATAAGTAAGTAAAGTAAAGGACCCTTTTTAACCAAAAGTGCATCTGGCATAATATGCTAGACTCTATATTGTACAAACCAATCAGCCCTTAATAGATTATGTGATCAACATCTATGTACGTACTTAGTCATTCCTCTTCCACCTTGGAGTGTAGAGGTTTGCCAGAGGGATCGCCAGACTTCTCTATCAGCAGTTTCTTTTCTGGCTTTGTTCCATTTCGGTCCTCTATCAGACACTGACTGGATGGTGTCTTCCAAGCGAAGCCTGGGTCGTCCTGGTGGACCATTTTCCTGGTTCTTGGCCTTCTGCACCTGCCGCGGTGGACGATTCTCTTCCATTTTGAACATATATTTCAACAACTTTAACTGAATGACCCACTCAAGTTTCGAACTATGTTCTTGTCACTTGGCCCACCTTTCTCAGGCCTGAAGCTGGCTTCTGTGAGCCTTTGTCATTCCTTATGACTCACACCATATGTCAGGACTGGCAAATAGGTAGAGTGTACAGCAATTTTTGTCCCCTTGTTAAACTTTTGCTAAAAAACTCACGGTTTATGACCTGGAAAAGTCTCCCAGCTGCAGCTTTTTGAGCAGCTAACTGATTTATACCTTCATTCTGGGCTTTTACAACTCCAAGGTATCTGAACTAGCTGACTTTTTTCAGTGTGACTTGTCCCATCATGATTTAATGTTTCTTCCCCCCCCCCCTCTTTCTCTCTTAACGTTACTATAGTTTTAGTTTTGAAGACACTGATGATCGTGATGTGTTGAACATCACACCTGCATATATAAAATAATTAGTCCTAATTTATGAAAATAAATGTATGTCCCAGAGAAACTGGGATTGAAAAGTGAGCTAACAGTAGCAATAAAAATGCAAAATATTTTAGCCACATTAAAAGACATGAGACCTATAAAAATGCCCGGAAAGTCAAAAACAAACAAACAATAAGCAGGCACAGTACAAGTGAAAATGTATCAAGAGATGGATAAACAGAAGGCTGTAAGAGTACAGCACACTCTGTTGGAGATCCACTTCAGCCACCCATCTCCGACTGTAGGGATGCACACGACTGACACCAGAAATAGTATTATTTCAACATCTGAAACATTATGCAACATGAAAATGTCCCATACAATATATCTCAGTAACCTACCATACTGGCCCTGCTTCAAGATTTCTGTCAGCCGAACTCCTCTCCTTAGCAAATTCTGGGTTGCTTGGTCCAAGTCAGAGCCAAACTGTGCAAAGGCAGCTACCTCTCTGTACTGAGCCAATTCCAGCTTCATGGAACCAGCCACCTGATGAATGTTAACAAGTTTCAATGATAAATCTGTTTGGGTTCAGGATCCCATTTGAGGATTAACAAGAACAGACTCACTGCTCCCAAAGAAGCATGTCATATAAGGTGATTAATAATGGGTGTTTGCTTTGAGGTGTCTGCCCAGATGCACTTTGATGTTGAAACAAAAGTAATAAAGCCCAGAAGTGGATGAACCAGAAATTTTTTACAAAAAAAAAAAAAAGGAAATTATAAATCAAATTTAGCACTCCAATAAAATAGCCATATGAGCGACAATTTCCCCCAAAAGTGTTTTCAGCTTGTTGAGGTGGGGGAGTTCAATGACCCTGAAAGCTATGTCGGTGATAGCGTAGTTGCCAGCCAAAGAGATCAAAGGGTAGAAAACAGACAGAGAGAGAAAGACCCTGCTTGTCCAGGTTGGTAGCTGAAGCTCGGGGCTGACACAAACATCTTTGTAAAACCTCATTTCATAATAAAACAGACATCTGAATCTCGAATTTGGATTAAGAAATAAAATGCCAATCATAAGAGATGAATGGAGGTGGGTGATATCTGCAACAATGAACCCCAAGGGCTCAGAATGCTGAAGAAGATATACAAACAACAACAGACTTCAGTGGCATAGAATACATATGCTACAAATAGATTCTATCTTCATGGCAAACACTTGATAGATAAAGCAGGGAAAGTGAAAGATGCTGCTTAGGAAACAAAACAACAAATTCAGGAACATAAAGCCTAGAGAACTATCATTCGCTTGGTAGTTTACTTTTTGGTAATAGAATTCAAATTTGCTAAAACAAAGATTGTGCATTTTATACAATTTTTTTAAAATTAACCATCGATGCAAGAATGTCAAGGGAAAGTAGACAAGTGTGTTTATTGCAATCTGGGATAAAAAGTTCTGTCTGCTGCGGCTCAACCCAAACTGTGCAATGTCAGTCTTATGTGTAACTACCCCTTACTGAATAATGAAATCAATTATGATGAACAGTCACAATCTTCATTATCACCTAGAAACAAATTCTACAGACATTAGTGACCCAATTATGAATGGACCTTTACCTGTTTCATGGATCTAGTTTGGGCAGCAGATCCCACACGGCTGACAGACAGACCAACATTAATGGCCGGTCGAATGCCCTTAAAGAACAATTCAGTCTCTAAGAAAATCTGCCCATCAGTGATTGAGATGACGTTTGTTGGAATATAAGCAGACACATCCCCAGCCTGGGTCTCGATGACTGGGAGGGCAGTAAGGGAACCTCCTCCATGGGTGTCATTCATCTTAGCAGCTCTTTCCAACAAGCGGGAATGCAGGTAAAAGACATCACCGGGATAGGCTTCACGGCCAGGAGGACGACGCAGCAGCAATGACATCTGACGATATGCTACAGCCTTAATAAGAAGAAGAAAATATAAGACATTTCTGCACTCATAAATTGCATAAAACTGTTACAACAACACTAATAAACAATATAAACTAAACAACTACAGCAGAACAGTTGTTCACATGCTTGCTTACTATGCTTTTTACATGCAGTAAAATCTCAGGTCTGGCCAGTTGACTTTCCAGTGAAAAATATGTCACATACCACAATCTTCACAGAAGCCTGTAGCTTTATCTAACTACTTTGCAGAAAGAACAAAAAAGCAGAATTTCCTACAGAGTTATTTTCCTACCAGTTCAGTTATAGGATTAACACAGCCTGCTAAAATTGGTACTGGAATTTTCTGGGAAGGAAATGTGTCAGCACATCTACTATGCTGTGACCTAAAATAAATGAAGACCTAACATTCAACGTGCCAAGGACAGTATGAGCCATGGAACTAATTTTACCTTCTAATATTACACAAAATGCAATGCAGTCCAGACCGCACATTTGAATTTAAATCTAAAACTACTACTACTACCTGTAAATGTCAACAAAACTAAGCGACTGTCCATACAGGAATAGTTAATACAAACAGTAAAACGATGACTAAAAGTACTGAGAAACAAGTAAAAGCCATACCTGCTTGGACAAATCATCATAAATAATGAGAGCATGCATGCCATTGTCACGGAAGAATTCACCCATGGCACAACCCGAGTAGGGAGCCAAGTACTGCAGCGGGGCAGCGTCAGAAGCAGTGGCAGACACTACAATGCTGTATTTCATGGCATCTGTAACATAAATTGACTCTATGCTAATAGTGTAACCGCTGTACAGTTTTATTTGTCTCACCAACTACTCTCAAACTCATGATCACCCAATATTTGTGCTTATAAAATGAAATGTTAAAGTGTTTTTCTCAGCCATCACATTTTTTTCCTGCGAACGTACAAGCACAGTTAGTTAGTTTATCGACAGATTATTCCCCACTGCAAATCTGACAAGTCCACAAGTGCTAGGATCCCATCTTCAGTATATCCCTCAGCGTGTGGAAACTGCCAACACCGATTTTTGTGGTGGTTTACTATTCTTCTTTAGTCGGCCTGCACCAACAGTACTGCGCCATGACGACAGCAAATACATCAAATCTACCGCACGCTGTTAAACATATTTTCAAGATGGTTTCAGCTTAGATGCATTAAATTCCGTAGCGCCGGTGTGATGACCCTGCTTTGCATGGTCTCCACGAGTACATTGTGGCAAGCAGAAAGTCCGTGCTACAAATGACGGCACGAGATACTTGTGGCTGGTCGAGTACACGAGGGAAAGCCCGAGCTAGCCTCGTGGTCAGTTGATCAACAGAAGTGAGAGAAGACGGTTGTAGTATTTGAAGATGTCGTCTTTATGTTGCGCGAATGGTTAGTGTCCGAATATGTCGCGAGTGATAGAATTGAGAATAATTGTTTAAGCATGTTGAATACATGGACCAGAATAAACTGACAGCATTTACAAAGAAGCTGAGTGGAGTTTGCGTTGTCAACCCTAGACGTTAAAGCAGTGCAAGTTTTGTAGCAGTAAACATCCAGAGAGTGAGCTGTGGCGAAAGCCAATATGTAGTGAGCCAAGGTACATTCCATGTCAAGCCAAGAATCATTCCAAGTGAAGCATCGCTTCATTCCAACCGGTGAAAATCTTGAAAAAATGGACTTCCCTTGTTACTTTTTGCATCACATTAACTATAAACAATACATGAATTCCATTCTCATTATGTATAATTAGTGGCAGTTAATACACTTGCACATTTGATTTTACAATTTTTATAAAAGCCACTTAAATGGCTGTTGCCTGGTACACCACAGACAGACATAAGTTGTTTTTTTTTTTGGGTATAAAATTACACAGATTGTAAAAAGTGTAACAAACGAATTACCAGCATCTGTAAGCCTCTTCACAAGCTGGGCAACTGTTGATCTCTTCTGGCCAATAGCAACATAAATACAGAAGAGTTTCTTTTTGTTATCTTCAGCTTCATTGAATCTTTTCTGGTTGATGATGGTATCAATGGCAATAGCTGTTTTTCTGTGAATAATTAATAACAACACTTATATCCAGCTTATGAAATAAGCTTTAAGCTCTTAATCTTTAAGTAATGAGTTTATTGAGCTGCTTCAAGATTCACAGAACTCAGGGCATTCCCATAAGTGCTCCGTCCCCGTCATCTGCAGCCAGCGAAGAGTTCCAATGCCAATAGTGACAGAAGCAGTCTGATTATATGTCAATCTTGCCTTCCCTGTGAGCTTCAAGTATCAGCCAGATCCCCTCGTAACTCCTTGCCGCATTACTCTCACCAGACCGTGATGATCAATTTGCTCCTTCACACGTGCTCCCTTTAATAAACCATGTCTGCCTTATTATGCAATAATACTCCACCAAGTTGTGCAGAGCCAGCCACTCTGTCAGCCTGTTCATTTCCCAATACACCGACATCCCCGGAGAAAACATCCAGACAATGCTCTTCACCTGTGACCTCAGAAGCGAAGCATGCCTGTCCTCACCTCCTTCAGTATGCTTTCTGAGTCACTTATAATCACGGCGTGTGTATGTGCGAGCGCGTGTAATTGTGTTCTCTAGCCAGTGGACAGCTGCAGTGACTGCCTTTTCAATTCTTGCGCTTTATATTGATAGGCTCTCCTGCACCAAAAGTCAAACATTAGCTTTTCCTAAGAACCCATAGTCACATATTTTGTCCCTTATTATATTATCCAGAATTAACTACTGAATTTCCACCTTTGTGGCACATGCTGGCCACTCCTTGCACGCACCTAGCTCAATGTGATTATAACTCTACACAAGAAGAGATACACACAAAAAGAGAGACAACAAATACACACACCAACCCATGCCTTTAATGCACACTTCCTCCCTCCCTTTCTCTCTTATTCAATTGTACAAATAACAGAAGCAGGAAGGAAGTGCGCAATAAGCGAGTGAGTTGATGTGTGTGTTTGTTATTTTTTCGTAAATATAAGAGAAAACAAAATGCATATAAATCACCTTTTACAGAAAACAACGGTTATAAACTACTAATAATGGCTCTTAACTAAGGTCACGAACCCAGTCTGTCTGTCACCAATAATGAGCTCACGCTGTCCTCTACCAATAGGCACTAAACTGTCTACTGCCTTTATACCGGTCTGCATAGGTTCTTTCACAGGAGGTTCGGGGAATGATTCCTGGTGCCTTTACACCTACACGAGCTCTTGTTTTAGTTTCCAAAGGGCCCTAAAGATATAAAAAAAGCGCTTATAAGTAAATTTGGTGTGAATGATTTTGATTAAAAGGGAAACAAAACAAAAAAGAATATTATAACTAGTATATGGATTGATTAATAGAGAAAGATGATGTTAGTCAATTCAATCAAATTAAAGTAATTTTAGCTTTATCTTTACATATGCTTATATCTTTGTTGAACAGTGTGTCTTCTTACCTCTATCTTTCTTATATCAGTATCAATCAATACAGACTGATATTTAAACAAAAGCAGGCAACTTCCAAACCTGATAAGCGCTGGATTTGTGAAAATGCCAGATTTGTACACATGCAAACAAAATCCTCAAAATCTAAATACAAATAAATAAAATAATATAGAATGTGCTCTGAAATCCATGCCAGAAACCTAAAGGAACCAGATTATCGATGACCAGATTGTTATATGTCAATCTGTATCTGAAATCATGTCTCACATACAAGAGAAAACACTACTAGAGAACAACATGCAAATGCTATTTAGTACCTTTCCATCAATTACGTTTCCCAAAGCATCCACAACCCTTCCAAGAAGCTCCATGCCGACAGGTACATCCACAATAGCACCTGTTCTTTTCACCACATCTCCTTCTTTGATGAGCTTGTCATTACCAAAGACTACAACTCCAACATTGTCAGGTTCCAAGTTCAAAGCCATGCCCTGAAATTTAGGCTCATTGTTAAACCAGAAAAAACTAACTGCCATCATTAACCTTTATATGCATCTACACAAAGGCTGGATCTGTTATAATTTGGTTGGTAATTATTAATGCAGGCAGTACAATGCAATCAAGAGTACTTTAATCATCTAACTGATTGTGACTAGCAGAGTCAAAGTTAAGCACTGATGTATATCCAGTTTAAACTTCAGGACCAGCTGAATTGTAAAGCCTTGTTAAAGCAAATTCCAAGAGCCCTAAAACTGAGTCAGTGTCTTAAAAGTGTCCGCTAACCAGGGATTCATAACAATAATACCTCTTTCCTGGGACCAAAATTGTATTCATGTTCAAAGTGTTTTTCTTAAGCAAGTTTGTATGAATGAGGTTTTGTATGAAAATTGTTTTTACTGTATTCACTTTCAATCAGATATTTACATCAAATATTTATGTAGCAATAAAAACCCGCAGATATAGGAGTTTTCACAGGCAGACATAAGAGTTAACAGTGACAAAACTGTCAAAGACCACAAGCAAGTGTCAATAAGATACTTTTTTATCAATTAAAATGGTCTTCAAGTAATATTTACACCCCCCCCCCCCCCCAAACAATTTAACAGTTATCCCATCAACTATTAGGTAAGCTTGCCTTCAGACCACTTGAGAACTCTACCATCTCCTCTGCCTGGATATTCTTGAGGCCATAGACTCGAGCAATGCCATCACCAATAGATAACACACGGCCTGTCTCATCTAGATTGACGTCTGCTGACTGGCCAAGGATTCTATCTTCCAAGATAGAAGACACTTCTGCACCCTTGGGACCTTTTAAAGATGATACATAAGTTAATATAACACACCCCAGAATAATGACTAATAAACATTAAGTGTTATTTTTTTTAATTAATATATTTAACACACACATATAAAAAAGCACTTACAAAATATCAAATCACAACTAAACCAACCAGATTAATTACCTGCAGCAAATGTTGGTGCTGTTACACAAATATGTCTTGCAGAAAAACATCCAGCAGTAACTGCATTTTGGCTGACCTGTTCCACAAAAGACAACAAATTTACATCACATTATCATACATCAAACTATTTTTAAAAGCATTAAAAATGACATTGTTTTTCTGCTGGAATTCTAAACAATTTGGATTTCATTTCCAATTAACCCTTTTCCAATTAGCTATAAAGAACTTGCTGGATTCTGTGGAGGCTGAATAAAATAAGTAATTCTACTTAATGAACAGAATATTTCTGGAAGAAATAGCTTTGTGGACTTTGTCACAATAGCCTGATAGTCTAAGCATAAAGAAATAAAACCTGAGGCCATGTACTTCAAAACCTGGCAGAGAGCAGAATATCAAAGTCACCCAACTTGCAAACTAGCTATCCATTGACAAGTTGATAGCAAGTATTTCTAGGAGATTTGGTTTTTTTTTTTTTTTGGGGGGTGGGGGGCCTAAAATGATCATGACTGATGTCATAAAGAAATCTAAAAGAATCAGAAAAGACAGACACTGTGGGGTGTTTTCTCATCAACTAATGTTTAATTAAATCTGTCCTGTACAAAGCAAGAATCAAAAAGAAGCATATCTTCGAACTGAAAAAGTACCGTGGCTTTGTCAGTAGTCAAGAACAAGAGAGTTAGGCAGTCAGATTTCACCACAGAGTGGATGCAAGAAGTCAACTCAGGCGCGATGAATGAGGCAACTGAGTGCAAGCTACAAAAGCCTTATGAAATAATCAGAACCTTTCAAAACATTCAGAATGACAAATGCAGATGAAACCAACTGGTGCAGCAAAACTGCCTATGGTTTTGCATTAGAACCCCCCCCCCCCCCCCCCGTGTGGGTTCCGGGGCCCCATTGTGGGGAAAACAAGAATAGACCCACTGCCTCCCCAAAAGCATGTCGTAAGAGTCGACTAATTGGGAAGCTTCCTTTGAAGTCGGAGTGCATCTGCCGGAGAGGCAAGGAACCAACAGTCTGTATTCAAGAGAATGAGATCTGTAAAACTGATGCACACGCAACACTCAGGTTCTGGAGCAGGACTGCAGTTCAGTAGTGGACGAGCAACCAGAACCTTCCGCCAGAGTTTACAGTTGGTGAACGTGAAGAAGATGAAGAAGCATTAGAACCCTTCAACTTTAAATGTTTGAATTTGTTAGTCAGCCCCCCTCCCCCTGTCCCAGGTTGTAATACTTGCATCATCTGACAGCATGCTATTTTAGTATCCTCAAGAATAAATCACAAAATATAATGGCTACTGAACCATTCAGAACAATTATCATCACCATCATATACCCTGCCAACTAGCGTACGCGCTCGAGCATCTCCACAGATCACGATCTCTGGAGCAGCTCTCTTAATGAAATCTCTCCCTGCCATCGTTTCAGCCCATCCAGTATCATGATCACCTCTCTTGGTCTGCCTCTAGGCCTCTTTCCACCTGTCACGATGTTTTCCAGTGTCTATCTTCTCATTACATGGCCAAAGAACAGTGTGTGTCCTTTTCTTCTTGTATAGAGTCATAACTATATGTTATTATAAAATCCCCTCAACGCCTTTTTTTTTTTTTTTTTTTTTTTTTTTTGGCAATTTATCCCAGTGACAATGATCACAAACATAATATAAGATAACATACATTAACTGTTTCCATAAAACTTGTGTGTAGTAGACTAGTAGTGTAGACAGAAGTCCTCACACTTTGTTACCAACTTCAGGCAAGTATCATCTTGATTTATTTATCTATGTGAAAGTCGTCATTTAAAAATAATAATAATATAAATGATCAATCACAATGCAGCTACTTTTTGTTTTTGGACTGCCTGCCTGATTTGACTTCATACAACCTCGAGCACTGATACTGATGATACTCATATCATACTCATCATACTGATAGAATGTTTAGTTTGCAAAGTAATATTAAATTAAATTTGACAAATAACCGAACTGTAACAATAACAATGGTCAGTTTTTATTATGTCTATTTGTTTTTCTATAATTTCATTCCCCCCCCCCCCCCCCCCCCCCCCACAATTAACGATGTCAGTAGGTTCAGATTTGATAGTTATATGAGTTCTACACTACAACTTTTCAAGTCCTTTTTTTGACCTTACCCACTTCTCTCGCAGACATTCATTTACAAGTCAATAATTTTTGGAACTTGTTTGTATACTATAAGTCGTTTTTCCCATTTTCGTCAGAAATTCATCGCAAACAGAAAGTATCTGTGTAACAAGATAACTTACTTTTGGAAAAGCCCTGGGGATTCGCCTCACTAAAGAGGACGCCAATCTTGTCGTCAGCATGTTTCGTGGGTTTCCTCTGCCGGCTAGCGAAAGTAACGGACGGCGGAACTGCACGTTAGAGCATCTGCGCATGCGCAATATGGAACTTCTATTTTGCGAAGGGACGACAGAACTGTGTGATCCTGTTAAATATGCCCCATTGATTGCTGATGAGAAGGATTATGGCTTGAATACTAACAGAAGTCCACTGTTCGTGGAGTCACCTTTATTTTTGTTCCGGGACACGCAGGCGTCGATGGAAATGAAAGAGCTGACAGGTTGGCTGGATCCGCTATCACTACCGACGGTCAGCCTATGGATCATGCTGATATTATCAATGCCCTCAAAGAAATGGGAAGGATAGAGGACTTTGGTGGCAGTGAATCCACATCACTCGCCAGAATGGCAGACTTGGCAATTAAGATCGGCACAGCAAAAAAACGAGACGCACACCAGCTACGCCAGAAGACTTGTTAATCAACATAGAACTGGTACTATTAGCCATCGGACGTTGGGGTTCATACTGAGGGGAGGATCTGAGCACCTATGGACATGTCCGGAGTGCAATGAGGATAACCCAACTAACTAACTAACTAACTAAGGATTATCATCACAGCACTCCGAACAGATCCATAGGTGCTCCAATCTCCTCCTCAAAAGCTCCACAAGTGTAAAACGACTGATGACTGTGTTGGTTAATGAAACGTCGTGTCCCCTTAGTGAAATGTTCATTTCTTGCAGCTCCAGTCTGCACCCCATGTCCATCAGCCTAGACAGGGATATGGAGTCATGAACTTTGGCGTGCTCCTCGGTACGGTAAGTGCAGCGCATGGTATTGATAACATTGCTTCTGTCCAGTCCTGGGCCAGCCATAGCAACTGCAGTGTCAGCAAGATAGTCTGCACGCTCGTTCCCTACAAAGATGAAGGTTAGGGCAGAAGATATTCGTGAAGTACTTAGGGTATCAATCCATTCTTGCCTGATGAATCCAGCTTGGATTTTTTAAAGCATATTCACTGAGTCACTAAGAATGCATACGTGTGTGAACTTTTTGAGTAACAGCCATGCTAAAGCCCTTGTTACAGCCATGTTGACACACAAGCAGATACCTCGGAGTAATAAAGTGAATCTTATCAGAACTATTTTTTGCCCAACACTATGCTGTCAATGCCAAACGTGGACACTTACATTCTCCAGTGAACGTAAAATTGTGACAACAGAGATGAAATGCCTTAGAAGAGCTACAGGAGTTTCAAGAAAAGACAGAATACGAAATCATGAAATCAGACGAATGCTAGGAATAAAGCCAGTCTTACAGGTCATCAAAAAACAACAAATGAAGTGGTTTGGACACCTAACAAGAATGCCCTGGTACTATCTGTCACAGCGAGCGACACTAAAACGTTACAACGGGTATAGAGCGAGTGGAAGACCTTGGAAAATATGGAGTGATGGCATTAAAAACAGCCTTACAGAAATGAACATCAGTCTTAATAGTGCTCTTGACAGAGCTCATCAACGAACATTACATCTCCCCCCGACACTACGATGAGTTACAAGGTAGAAGAGAAGAAGAAGAAGAAGAAGAAGAAGAAGAAGAAGAAGAAGAAGAAGAAGAAGAAGAAGAAGAAGAAGAAGAAGAAGAAGAAGAAGAAGAAGAAGAAGAAGAAGAAGAAGAAGAAGAAGAAGAAGAAGAAGAAGAAGAAAAAGAAGAAGAAGAAGAAGAGCCATGGTTTCCATTGTACGGCTACTAGTTGTGACAGCAAAGACCCCATTTATCTCCTTGATGGTTTTCCCACTTGAGCTTATTGTGAAGGCTCATGAACTTCGCTTGCCCATAATTACAGACCCATCTGTGTAAACTATAACATCATCTTCATCTTTGTTTTCGTCCATCAGTGTTCTGACTAAAATGTCAACAATGCCAGGAATCTGCTCTCTACAGTTTCTATCAAGTGTGATATGGACTGTAAAAATGCTCCAGGAAATAGGTAATGGTTAATCGAAAAATTATCCTCACTTCACATCGGACAAGTCCATAAGCGCTCGGATCCTATCTTTTGTATATCCCCCCAGTGGGTGGCGACTGGTAACACTGATTTATCGGTTTACTATTCTTCTTTGGCTACCTGTATAACGACACCTCTTTTGACCTGAAGTTCTTGAAGTCTTTTGAGTATTTCCGATTGAATGTCATCTCCAGAATCATCTTCTAGTCCTGCCTCCTTGAAAGCATTGAGAATTTCGGCTCGGTCCACTGATTTTCCTGTACCAACCTGCCAGCAAGTCATTCCGCTAGTTAAGTCTCTCTTACCACAGAGTGTCCTGGCACTAAAATGAAACTAATTCCTTTCAGACGAGACTTCATCAGTGACCCCAGCCATTTTCTTCGAATCCATAATGCCTCTATCTTCTTAAGCATGCCATTTAGAATCACTTTGAAAGCACTGGTGGGGAAAATGCCGTGTCTCTAGCCACATCATTGCCATCACCTCCATATTCAAACCACTTGTAGAGGCCAAAGCCCCGCTCTCTTCTTTCACAGCTTTCCTTTGAACCAGGACCGTGAACGCCTATTTCCTTTGTACGTGTTGAATGACGGATCTTTCAGTGTAGATAACTGCACCTCCAACAGCAGAATTTTCAAGAATTAGGGCTGTCACTTCTGCCTCAACCACAAACTGGACTTAGTGTTTGCAATCTATACCCAGTTTTATGCAGACTGAAAAGAATATACCCAGCTCTGCTGGCACTCGTATCCATTCCTCACCAGGTTCTATGTCCCCAATTTAACAAACTTGATAAATAATGTCCTCATCCTGACCTACCCAGGATTTTGCTCTTTTGCAGTGGATGGTGTGTATCAGCTCCAGGAAAGAAAGCCTATACCTGTACATCGGCGACTAGGTCGCCCACTGGCTTGCTGGTAGACGACTTTATCGCTGATCGTAACAGTATTTTTACTGTCTCCTATGGTCGCATCAACACTGCAAGAGTCCTTTTCCGGGCTACTTGGTGGCGAGCAATGCTAAGACATTTTATATGGGGCACATAACCTAGTTACGATTATAACCTTCGATTTTTTTTTTAATCAGCAAAAATGTCCAGCCCAACCCTGTGGGATAGGGAACATTATGCTCCCTAATTAATATTTTTTTTTTGGGGGGGGGGGGGACTCAGCCCACTCCCCACCCCACTCCAAACGTCCATGATTTTTGTGTCTGGGAGCTGAGAAATGCAAGCATTTTGCATTTATATTAGTTACAAGCACTCAGATTTTGCCAGTTGTGCAAAGAATGCAGAATTTAAAGAGATAAAATAAGCAATGGAAAGCAATTCGAATGTGATGATTTTGTTGTTTATTAGAAAAAGAAAAGACTTAAAAAAATAAGCATCATAAAGAAAACCGTTTCAAAGCGGAAATTCAAATATAATACGAAAGATACGTTGGTATCATGACTGTTTATAGGTCCTAAACTTTAGGCATGTCACTATACACCTTTATGCTAAATCTTTTCAGCCCGTGCTTTCTCTTGCGCAGGGTTTGATAACATTATGGCATAGAAAACATTAAGTAGCTAATGTATGTATGGTCAGTCCAGTTAAACAACAAAAATGTTGCGTTGCAAACACCGGCATTGACTGTTGAGAACACACAACTGGAGGATCACGATACTTTGCAGATGATACTGTTCTGCTAAATAAGAACAACGACATGCAACACACACACACACACACACACACACACACACACACACACACACACACACACAGCACAGATAATTTAGCATCAAATTTTAGGCTACAAATAAGTAATGGTGTCTCGTGTGGGTTCCGATGGCCCATTGTCGGGGTAGACTCAGTGTCCTTTAACAAGCATGTCGCAAGAGTTGACTAATTAAGGATGTTTCCTTTGAAGTCAGAGTGCATCTGCCTGAGAGGCAAGCAACCAACAGTCTAATGCAAACAGATGAGATGGTAAAACCGATGTGCACGTAGTACTCAGGTTCTGAAACAAGACTAAAGTCCAAAAGTGAATGAATAAACCATAATTTTCCACCGGAGTTTACAGCTGGTGTACGCGAAGAATACGAAGAACAAATGAAACTATAAATATATTGAAGACACCGACAAATCAAGCAGATATAACACTGAAGACACCACCACCCTCCCCCTTTCTTCTCTGTTAAAAAAATCGAAGCAACAAAACAATTCAATTATTTACGTACTAATCTTGAAAGTCAATGAAAGACAAAAAGAGAAATGATTACATGTATTGTCAAGGCATTACAAGCTTCTAATATATTTAACAAAATATGGAACTCTAAATTCTGTAGTTTTAAAACCAATTTGGGTGTTGTCAATTCTAATGCTGTTTCAGTTTTCAACATATGACTGAAATTTTGGAGAACCAAGAAAGCTGTGGAACAAAGTTGCCGGTTCGAAAAATAAAATACCTAAGCGAAATTATGAACATAATATAGGATGAAGTCAATAAGGGTATAGAAATAAGATAACTATCTGGTTAACTATTAGTTACAAACGTTTTAAGACAGAAAAGTGCGCTATATTGGATACATCTTGAGAAGAAACGAACAGAGAATCACCAGGCATTGAAATCGGAAATAGAAGGATTAAGGAAAAGGGGGCGTCCAAGAGAAACTCTAAGGTGAACTTTGTTGAGAGAGGTCAAAAGTGCTGGACTGGATTCTTCCATGAGATCGATGTAATTGCACAGGATCGAACAGAATAGAGAAATAGGCTGCAAGCGCCCTATGATATGTAGTGGCCCAACAGGTCAGTGATGATGACGGGACAGTTTAAGCGACTTTTGCCGGATTTTTTTTTAATGTGCATATGTTTTCCACGGGCTTTAGCCACCCACCCCCCCCCCCCCCCCCCCCCCTCCCTCCCAATAAAACCACAGTGATATACTACATAAGTTCAATAGAAATATAAATGTAGCTCTGGTCTCAATAAATGGGACATATTGTGCCTTACAAACTCCAGCTTTGCCAGTACTAGTATATTCAAAGTTGACCCAGCCTTCTTTGTATTGCGAAGAGTTCTGAAAAGTAAAATCGGCCCAGTGATATAAACCACTTCCCAGTGCCGACTGGTCTGCGGCAGTAGACGTTAATGCCCAAATGCCTTTAAAGATTAGAAATGAAGTTCATACTTTAGTAACATACTTTGATAGCGCTGATTCCACCTAACGGAGTTGCGAAAGGGCTCTTACAGGCATGCCTTCTAATGCAAATTTATATTTACCTGTGCTTCAATGACTACCAGGCCCCAATGAATATCAAGGAATGTCATTTAGAAGTAAACACGACCGGCATATGTATCGCATCGCCCACCAAGGTAGGTAGTTGCTTTGCTGGGGGAGAAGTCATCACATTGAACCAGCATTCCAGAAGGGGCAGCATTAGGTTTTAATTGTGACTAGGATATGTACGCCATATAAAATAGTTTAGCTTGCACTCCACCAAGAGCCCTGAAAAGGACTCCTGCAGTGTCCCAGCAGGCGACTAAGTCGTCTACCGGCCAGCCAATATGCAACCCGTTGCCGGTGATCCACCCAGTACCGACTGGTCTTTAAATGTGATGAGAGCACCGTTTAGTTTAATTTATATAACAGAGTAATATCATGGCACAATGGTAGTAACCTATATGTGCTCCGTTCTACTTTTAACTCAAGCCTGAGTCCGAAGAATCTCAGCGCATCGAACGAACTCCGTAGCACCGTCGAGGATTCTGTTATACTTTGGGTAGTTTTTAAAATTCATACTGTGTTTCAGTGGAATTCAGTTTTTGTGCTTTATTATATGTTGATTTAACTGTAGTAACGTACCTGACGAAATACAGCGAAATAGGTGCAATGTATTGTTTGTATCCGCATTGTTTTAATTAATTTCACAAAATATTGTTTTGAATCAAGAATTTTTTTTTTACAATTTTAATACCACCCAACTCCGCTCATGTTTCTGTGAACAGTAATGGCTTGACTATGCATGTGGCAGGTATGCATACACTCCTCATACTCAGCCAATATCCACACTTTAGCCCCGCTGCATCCTGGGCATGTGTCTGCCGTGTAGGTATAACGAGTGTGTTTAGGTCCAAGTTCTTCTCTCTCAGTCCACGTTCCAACTGTAATCTGTTTGTGGCACCCATGTGGGTGTGACGTAACAACGGCTAGTTTCGGTGTTAGTGGCATGTATTTTGTATGAAGGTTTCGTTTCAAGTCGTCATAACGGTGTAAATTGTCTTGCAGTTTCCTCACCAAAGTCATATCGTGTGTTGGGCAATAGATCATACACCAGTCATAATCCATTTGCTCATACTTAACAGTGCCACTTAGTTTACAAACCTGATCACGTGTCACACTATCGTAAAACAGTTCAATCTCAGTGTGCTGTCCTTCTTCATCGTTAAAAACAACATGCTTCGCAGTCAGAACTATTATCTTTCCCCACTCTGTTTTGGGATTTCCGGACGCAATACATTCTTTACAGTAACACTTACAATTGCTGCTGTACTGATCAATATCGTGGATTGCCAAAATGGATCCCGTACCAAATCGAGATCCGTTAGAACCCCTCATGTTATAAAACGGATAATTGTTATCCGATCCAGGAAATTTTTCTGGTCGACTAGGGCTTGTGTAATTGACCACCAGGCATACCGTGAGCGAAGCTTGTCGCAGGGCACACTCAAGCACATCGGGGTCCTGGTATTCTTGAGGAAAGTCTTGTAGAGACAGATTTTCAACAGATTTAAAGGTCGTGTGTCCTGGGTTTTTACTGCATTCTTCTGTTATTGTCGCGAGATCCTCTCTGCCGCCAATGCTCACCTCTGTTTCATATGTACCTGAAAAAAAATATATAATTGAGCACACAAGTAGTTACATAATAAGCAGGGATTCGTACTTTCTTACAGAGATAATAAAACCGCCGGTACTCACAACAAAATGTAAATTACAGTAGCGCTAAAACATGATGCCTTAAAGGGTATCTGTACTGATACTGGTGCATACTGCCAACAGGGTTGAACATATATTTAATCTATGCATATTGTTAGAGATATACCACCAGCACCAAAAGCATATGTGCTCGTACCATGTGTTTATTGATTTCAAAAAGGCCTTAGGATATAGTAGGTCATGAGGCACTGTGGGATACTATGAAAGGGTACAGTGCTGGTTAAACCCTACTACATAATAGAGAACAAACAGCTTTATGTCTAAGCCATTAGTGCTGTCATGTTGAATGGATAAATATGGAGCTGGTTCTGAACAACTGTCGGAGTCCGGTATTGCTGCCCCCTCTTTCCAACACTGTTTAACATCTTCTTAGAAACAATTATGTCTGGACGCGATAAAAAAAAACATAATGGAACAGTTACTATAGGGGTACTAATGGTGCAATGATGCGCAAAACAAGACTCTTAGTGTCTACTAGCCTCTCTTGCTCAAGCCGACATCATCTTCTCGTGGTTGACCCTCTTGTTCCCAGCAATCCAGTGGAAGGTTGGGGTCTCAACCCTCAGAGGGAAACTGGATGGGAAAACAAACGAGGTAAAGGCAACGGAATGCACCCATCTCCCTCTCAGAGATCCAGAAGTCGGAAATACTGGGCCAAAGGGTGGATCAAAAACTACAGTACTACACAACCGCTTGCTTGAAGGCTGAGATTTTTTCACGTGGACTTCTAGTAATTTTCCCTGTTTCCGAGTAATAAGATCAGACGCCCGTACCGTGCGCACGTAAAAATCGCTTGGCAGTTGGAAATTGAAAAGAGTAGTCCAACGGCGCAGCGCGGGCACGATTTCGAGTTTAAAATCTACCCAAAGAATTTCAGGATCCTCGCCGGTGCCACGAAGTTTGTGTCATGCGCTGAGATTCTTCGGACTCGGACTTTAGTTAGAAGTAGAATGGAGCACTTATGGGTTACTACCCTTGTGCCATGATGTTGGTCTCGTATTTAAACCTCAAACCATGGACTCCGGCGCTTATTTTCATCGGGAAATATTTTCTTCGCGGTAAAAACAAATTTGTTTTAAATTGTTCAGTTACATTATTTTAAAACTCATTTATAAACAAGCGGAAAGTATATTCAAGGATACAAACCTTGATCTGCTCTGGCGATCCTTGATCTCTCTAAATTAGACATCGTCTGATCTTCCATCACAGTACCTATGTAGAACAACATTTTTCATCAGTTGGCAGTTTGAACTTCACAGTTAGTGAATTAGGAAGTCTTCCCCGTGCATGTTACGGGGCCATATAAGTGTTTGTGAGAGGGGAGTGGGTTCTCCCCACTGACCCATAACGCGCATATTGTAGGGTGCGACTATTTAGGAGTCTTTCGTTCGAAGTCGGAGTGCATTTGCCTGAGAGGCGAGGAACAAGCAGTCTGCACACAGATAAGCTAGATCTGTAAAACAGGTGTGCTCGCTAAACTCAAATTCTTGAAAAAGACCAGAATCCATAAGTGGGCGAACAAGTGGACTTGCTTGGGATGTCTGAGCTCAAAATATTATGGTCACCCAACCCGGGGGCATTTAATACTGCTAAGACGGACCTGCTTAGCTTTAAACTGAGTTAAATGTTAGTTGCGTACCGGTTAACAGGACGTTGTAGAACCAACACTAGCATTTGTTGCTGTCTGTGATTTAACAATGGGATTTTACATTTGGTAATTTACCATTTCCCTTCACTGTTGGCTGTCGATACCACTATTAACATAAACGTAAGGCGGCCTGCTGCCAAATCGCCCGCAGCTGGCATCGAGCTCCCGCACAGCGCTTCAAACGCTTAAGCCACAGACGCCGATTTAAACTGAGTACCAGGAACTGTTTTTGAAAGTAAAGGCGGGTGGCACATCAGCCATCGAGCACCGACTGGTCTACACAAATACGAGTCTAGCTTTATATGCCTGATGCGCCGCTTGCTTGAAAAAGGGGTCCTTTTTGGAGAGGTTGCGGGGATGGGGATTGAAAGGGGACAACACTGAGCTCGGATACCACTCCCTCTCCACAAGCAGAGAGAAAAATTGCGTACAAAATGAGCTACCAGCATGGCCCTAAGCTCTAGCAAAGATTTGGAGAGACACTTTTGATTACAACAAAAGCCTGGCCAAGAATAAAAAGGCTCGTCCATTTTCACAAAAGACTAAGGCTGAATTGAGAGAGCATATTCATACAACTCAGGGAACTTGCTTGCAAGTGACAAGTGGGGAATAGTCAGTTATTAAACAGCGGCAAACAACTGATGTAGATGTAACTGAAGAATGAAGAGAAGTTTTCATGGTTCTTTTTCTTCTTCTTCTTCTTTTTCTTCTTCTTCATTTTCTTCTCCTTCTTCTTTTTCTTCTTCTTCTTCTTCTTCTTCTTCTTCTTCTTCTTCTTCTTCTTCTTCTTCTTCTTCTTCTTCTTCTTCTTCTTCTTCTTCTTCTTCTTTTTCTCCACCTTTCAGTCAAGTGGTGGTGGTGGTGGGGGGGGGGGGGGGGGGGGGGGGGGGGGGGGGGGGGGGGGGGTAATTTAATGCTTGTTGACGAGCTCTGTCAAGAGCACTATTGAGATTGATGTTAATTTCTGTAAAGCTGTTTTTTATTTCATTACACCATATTTTCTGAGGTCTTCCCCTCACTCTATAGCTGTTGTTAATTAGTACTACAATGTTAAATCCAACAAGAAATAAGCGAGATTTAACTTTAGCGCGCAAGAGCACCTCTGTACATTCAACATTTTAGAGAACGGCTAGAGCAATTGCCCCATAGGCGCTGAAACCTTGTAGTTCAGGTCGCATGACCACTCCCAACCCCCCTTCCTCCTTCCTTAATTTCTTAGGGGAGCTGAGGTCCCCCCCCCCCCCTCCTCCTTGCCTATTTTTGACCAGAAAATGTATAAGGCGGAAAGGGAGTCGCTGGTGAGTTGGGTTTGCGCTAACACCCCCCCCCCCCTTCCACCACCCCCCCCCCTCCCCACAAATGATTTTTTTTCTCCCGTTACGACACGAGTGAATTACACCTTTTTTTAATGGACAGTAAATAATGTGAATATATTGGTTAATATATTAACCAGATCACACCATAAAGATAGGACTGGATGGGGCTAAAAATGCAATTAATGTGCATATTGAGTAGTCAGGTTGTTATTTTTAGAAACAATTTTCCCTTTTGTAATCTGACAACTCTTGGGACTTCAGGTTATTCCCTTTATGTATAACTTCATTTACTTAACAACCCAGTGTTACATGTTTAAAAATGAACAGTCGTTTGGATATAAACTCTGAATGGTGATATACGTGATCTGTCATACCATAAATACATAATACGAAAATGACGTTTTATAGAAACTCACCTGGTACTCAATGTTTGAAACTTGTAAACAACCACAGTAACATTCTTTCTGCGATTCTTTTTCTTTTGTCTGTGCTTCACAGTCGATGAAGATTTGCACCTAGTACTTCAACAAATACAAATCTGAACGCATAGATTTACCCTGCTTGTAGATTTATCAATGAAACAAATTTAGAAACATGTTTTAAAGTCTGAAATGAATAACAACGTTCCTTGCGAATATGCCAGCCCGACAACAAAAAGAATTACTAATTTCGGCTTACGGATTTTCCCACATTATAATAGTATGCTGTGGGAATATCACCTTGTCCTAACCAGACAACATAAGGAGTTCATTATAATAGTATGCGTGAATATCGCATTGTACTAAACAGCAGATTTTGGACACCTCGTTAGAATGCAGCAACATCAAAAAACATCATATGAATTACATTTCAGAAGATCAGCTACAAAAGTAAGAAAACGGCCTCGAAAAATATGGATGGACAACATTAAGTGATAATAGCCAATGCCAGCCATTGTGAATTGGATCACAAATTATTCCTCCCCACGCTGCTTAACGGCAGAAATGTTATATGATAATGATGACGATAGAATGCTTGGGAGTAGCGATCGTGCAGTGGTCAGCATTGCCTGCCTGCCTGCCGACCCGATGGATTCAATCCATATATTGCAAACTTATACGCTTCATTAACATCAGTCGGGACTTTCCATATTTTTTACTTAATCATATCGAAAATTTCCGATGTCACCTTTGTGATTTCCCAATATTCATTATGGGATCGTTGACGAAGGTTGAAATTAGCTCTTTCAGCACCGGAAGAAGGTTTCGTAGCAGATTCCAGTGAAGAAATATCTATAATTGACATTCATAAATGCATTACTTTCAAAACAATATTTTAACAGTTGTAGTGACGATCGGCGTCTGTGGGTTAGGCTTTGTAATGTCGGGGTGCCGGGTTGGTTTCGACAGTGGTACGGAGCGCTGACCGTTCGTAAGGCAATGGCAAACAACTGAACGTAAAATTTGCCTTAAAAAACCAAAACAGCCAAAAGATGCTGGGGTTGGTTCTGCAACGTCCTGTAAAGGATACGCAACAAGAGAGTGACGATCGGACAAGTCAGATTTCTTGAGTGTTTTCTGACCAAACACAACAAATAAGAGAATATATTAGGTTGAAAAGGGGTGGGGGAGGGGGGGGGGGGGGTTCAACAGATAGAGTGATAAACACATAGTGCATTGTTTGGGTCGGGGAGTAACCGTAACGGCTACACAGCGTATTTTCTTAATATAAATCTTTAATTTACTGTAACATGTTCCATTTGCATTTTTCGTACGATAAGCCGAAAATGGGGTTGTCTTTTTCTGATGTTTGTGAAATTATCAACATCATCACTGATTTTACTCACTTCGTTGTATACACGGGCAGTCGCTGTGGCGGAACTGCTAGACGCTCGCCGTGGATCGGAGGGTCATGGGTTCGCTCCCTGGGGAGCCGGGCATTTTTCAAAAATGACCTTGGCTCTCAGGTAGACCCATCCTTAAGTGGGTAACGGGTGCAGTCCCGGGAAGTAAAGGCGGCCGTTGTGATGCTGACCACATCATCCATCTTGTGCCGATGGTCTATAAAAAATATAGGTCTAGCCCTATATGCCTAACAGGCGTGGAAAAGGGTCCTTTACTTTGTTTTTAAAACTTTTTTATTGTGTACACAGTTTACAGAATGACAGCGGGCATTCATTTTTGCCAGCGGTTCTAAACCTGTGCGTCCAAGGACCCTTTCACAGGGGTCGCCAAAGACCATCGGAAAACACACATCACTGAATTTATGAAGTAGAAATGAAAATAATTGTATGGTTAGGGCTAGTCACAACTGTATTAAAGTAAAAGTAAAGTAAATGACCCTTTTCCACGCCTTTCAGGCGTATTGGGTATATAGGGCTAAACCTATATTTTAAAGACCAAACGATACTTGGTGGATGATGTGGTCAGTATTACACTGGCCGCCTTTACTTCATAGGACTGTACCTGTTACCCATTCAATGCTGGGTCGACCTGGGAGCCAAGGTCATTTTTTTTAGAGAAAAATCCGGCTCTCGTCAGAAACCGAACCCACGACCTTCCGATCCACAGACAAGTGTCTAGCCGCTAGACCACGTCGGTTCCTGCCACTGTAATAATGGATCGCCTCATTATGAAGGTTGGAAGCCGCTGATTTATGCGGATGTATCAATTCTAAACGTATAGAAAGCATTGGCTGTTCCAGGGCCATCGGTAGTACTACCGATGGTCCTGAATGTTCCCAATCTAGAAATCAAGGGGAAATTATTATGAAACCCTAGTCAATTAATAACTGATTGTGCTTGTTGCCCTTTTTTAATTGATATCAACACTCAGGTTTTTTGGTACTGAATTGTCTAATCTAGTGTCTCCAACATAGGTTGCACCACCCCCCCCCTCCCCCCCCCCCCATTGCCCAACCCCTGGTATGGGGGTGGGGATCGCAAGGAGGTTTTAAGGGGCGTCTGGTATTTTGAAATTGAGTGCACTTGCACTTGTAATAATCCATTAGACAAACATTAACTATATCTTCCTTACGTCCTTTTCAGGACGTAATTTTTTGTTATTTAAAGCCCCACTCTGGCTTTTGCCAGGGGCCGCAATATAGGCAGGCCATCAATATGGCCAATTGTCTGAACGCGGTTTCTGGGACCTCTCCACGGTGATCCTCATCCACATGGTGGCACTTTGTGTCATCGGGTGTTTATCGCTTGTGTGATGTCCTAGTGGGGTGGAAAGTCAGTCAGTCAAGTTATTAACAAAA